TCCAAGACAGAAGATAGCCATGTGCTCATTTATGCATTTCTGAAGATGTTCAGAGGGAGGAAGGCTCAGTGAGGTCTGCATTTGTCAGGGAAGACTTCATGGAAAGGAAGAGAGAATAAGTATTTATCTAGTACCTGCTATGTGCCAGGTGCTGTGCCAAGTGCTTCACAATATTATCTCATTTGATCCTCCCAGCCACCCTGGGAGGTTGATGCTGTTATTATCATCCCATTTTATAGATGAAGAAACTGAGGCAAACAGCAGTTAGGTGACCTGCTCAGGGTCACCCGGCTAGTTAAGTGTTTGAGATATGATCTGAACTCAGATCTTCCTAGGCCCAGAATTCTATCCATTTAGCCACCCAGCTACACAGGAGTGGAGTACATGAATCTTTTATTTTTTTCCCCTTAAGTTTCTGATAATTTTCATTATTTCTTATTCAATTATTATGGATTCTCCTTTTTCATTTTTGACACTAACAATTTGGTTTTCCTCTTCCCTTTTTTTAAACATTTTTTAAAAAAAATTTTGAGTTCCACATTCTTTTCCTCCTCCACTCATTGAGAAGGCAAACAGTAGGAGTGTATATATGAGTCTTGAAGGGAAGGTAGAAAGGAAGTCTGAGAGAGGCACCCTTATGCAGTGGTAAGAACACAGGATTTGGGATTCTAAGAGGAGACCTGTGTTCAAGTCCTACCTCTGATACTTATTTTGTGGTCCTAGATAAGTCACTTGACCTCCCTGAGGAGACTCAGTTTCATCATCTGTAAAATGGGAATAATAACTCCACTTAGTGCAAATCAATCAGTTGGAAGTATTTATTATTTATTATTTACCAGGCATGTGGATGACCGCCAGGGATACAAAGACAGAAGGGAATCATACTGTACGTACTCCTTGTGAGTAAAGGACTTGGTGAACTTTAAAGCCCACTAGAAATAAGACCTAACCCTAATTCCAGGGGAATGCTGTGAGCAAAGACCTGGAGGTGGGAATGAACAAGGCCTGTCTAGTGCTTTCTTGTGGCATATGGGATGATGGAGTGGGATGAGATGAGAGATAGAGCTTTGTGTTTAGCCTGGCCCGGGCCATTTTGAACTTGAGAAACAATGTCGGGAGCTCTCCTTTATTGTTCTTTAACCATTTCAGGGTAAACCTGAGGGCCCTCCTGTTATTGGGGGAGCCAGGTTTTATTGGGTGCCTACTGCGTGTTCTCCCTTCTGCTAGAATTCTCTTCTTTGGGAGGCCTGAATGGAAGAGGAGGGGCTCCTCAGCTCTTTGGGGGAGCTTCTGGGGTTCCCCTCCCTGCCTTGGGGCAAGGGAAGAATTGCAGAAAGTGCACCCCTGAGAGCCTTCTCTTTTTGACTTTCATTCCCATCTCCACCTCCAATGGGCAGCGGGGGAGAGGAATAAAGATAGATTCTTTCCCTGGTAGAGGTGTCAGCATAAACATGAAACCAAGCAACAGCTGGAGGCACATCTGGAACACCCCCAGAAACATAACACCTATACCCAGAGTAGGTTTTCTATAACTATTCATTGAATCATTGAACAAATCAATCATTCGTTCAGCCCCTCCTTTTAAACAAATCTTCCCTGACCATTTTCTTTGTACCTGGTGCTGTCGGGAATTAGAGGGCAGGGAGGACCTCTGCTTTCAGGGAGACCATAGTTTATTTAGGGGAGACAAAAGACTGAACACCTGAAATGCTGAGAACACTGTAAGGAGGCCTTCAGTCGGAGGAGTGGAGGATGAGTGTTACAGAGAGTCCATGAGGCTTTAAGGACGTGTGCCCTCCTTACATAGTCGCTATGTTTCTCTGTGCCCTGACTCCAGTCTCATTCACTGGTTCTGAGCCCATTGAGGCCCCATGAGGTAGTACCTGCTAAGGTGAAGGCTGGCACAGAGAGACTCAATTAGAGACAGTCTTAGGTGTCAGCAAGTTGATAATAATAACAACAGTAAGTAGTGCTTATATAGTGCTTTATAAATATTATCTCACTTGATCCTCACAGCATCCCTGAGAGGTTGGGCTTTATTATGCTCATTTTTTTAGATGAAGGAATTGAGGCTGGGTGAGGAATTAAATGCCTTGCCGCGGTTCACATAGCCTGTAGGTGTCTGAAATGGAATTTGAACTCAGGTCCTCTTGACTCCACCAACTTACCTCCGGATCTCAGAAACTGCGGAGTGTTTATAAAATTCCTCTCGGCCCTTGGCAGATGGTTTAAGGCTGTCTGTGTAGTTCTGGATTGAAGCCTAATGTCCCTCCTAATGAGGGGTATACCCCAGAGGCCCTGTGTGGTGCCAGATATTGGGGAGGACATGGGATACATCTTGGCAATAACTGAATGACATCGGATGGGGTGGGGCTGACAGCCATCCTACTTCTTGGCATGCCAGGGCTACGAGACAATGGCCATTGTTGGACCAATCTGGGAGAACTTCCTAGTAGAAACAAGCATCCAGGAGTATCCAGGAATTGCTGACGATGGGAAGGGGGGTTGTCTAGTTCCGTGAGTGCCCTAGGTACAGGGCCAGTTGCTGGCAGAAGGATGGGGCCCAGGTGAAAGGAGTGTTGAGCAGATGCCCTGTAGAGGCAGCTGGCAGCAGGGTGCTGGAGGCAGCAGAGGAGGGTTTAGCAGAAAAAACCCGATTCCCAGTCTGAGGGCAAACCAGGGGGAGCCTTGAGAACTGGTGAGGCACACTCCTAACTGGTGGGTTGCCCAGACACTGAGGTGAGAGAAAGAAGAAATCAGATAAGGAGGCTTTCATCGTCAGAGACCCGTCCCAGGCGTTGGAGGACGTTGGAAGTGGAAGGGACCACAATGCTGGGAGAGACTGAGACTGGAGAACGTCAGGCCTGGGAGGAGCGGGTCTAGCCCTGGCCCTGAGGTGGAGGCAGATGGAGCAGCCCGTCTCAGGGCGTCTTCCCTTGGTGACGTTTCCCAGAATTAGCTTTTCCATTGTGGGCAGGAAAAGTAAACTTGTCTGAAGTCTCTCCATGCCGTCGGGGCCCCCTCCCCCCCGGGATCTGGGTCTGAGACACCTTCCCTAGGGAGCCTCGGGATTGGGGTTCCTGTATTGCCTGCGTTCAAAACAGGTTATTAATTCTCTCTATTTAAAGTGAGTGGCTCTTAGGAACCCCAGCTCCCGTGGCCCCATATTCCCCTGCCACCTCAGGCCCTGCAAGCAGGCAGAAGGGATTGCATCAGGCTCCTGTTGCCGAAGGGGCTGACCCCAGAGACCTGGAGCTGTTTTTCTGCCTGACTGGGCTATTTCTGTGCTCTCTCCACTTCCCTGGCCTTATCTTTGATGCAGCTTCCTCCCCCCCCCCCAAAGCCTGGGGCCACTCCGTCCCAGTCCGTACTGGTCCCCGATTTCCCTCTAACCCCCAAACTTCAGCTGGTGCTCTCTCTGTTCCCTGCAAACAACCCCTAAGTTGACCCCCCCCATTACTGGCCACTTGTCCCCATCAGTGAGGTGGTGGCTGCCATGTAATCGGGACCCTTGAAACTTATTCTGCTGGAACAGGAACATCGTAGTGGGAGCTTGAAGCGGTCTGAGAGGTCATTGAGGCAGCATGGTACATTAGCAGGACTACTGGATTTGGAGTCAGAGGACCCGGGTTCTAATCCCAACTCTTATTTCCTGTGTGAACCTGGGCATGTTAATTCATCCTTGTGGGCCTCAAGTTTTCTCATATGTAAAATGAGGACCTTAGACTAAATGACCTCTAATGCCCTTTGCAGCCCTAAATCTGTGATCTGGTTCAACTCCCTTTTTACAAATGAGGAAACTGAGGCCCATTCATGTGAGATCACTGTCTCAACATTGCCCCGGTAGCACCTGGAATTGTCAGGACTGGAATCCGGATCTCTTGGTATCCAGGGCACTGTTCATTCCATCTGAGTTCTTGACCCTACCAGACTTTAATTAATATCTTCATCTGTAAAATGACCAACTTGTATGTTTTTTTAAAAAATTATTTTAAATTACTTTTATTTCTTAATGAGGATCAAGTTAGATAATGGATGAGAAGGTACTCAAGAGGAGCTTGTGCCAGGTTATTATTGTTTCATAATTTGGGCACTCGGCTGGGTGGAGTAGGCCCCGGGGGAATGTTGGTTGTGGGGACCGGGAGACTTAGATCTCCTGCGCTTGCTGTGGTCCAAACCTGAAACCCCATGCAGCTGGTCTGTGAGTTAGCATTCGGGAGGACATGGGCCTCTGTTTGTTCATCTTTAAAACGGACAGGAGGTTTCACTAGATGATCTCTGAGCTCCCTTCTAGTTCTGAATCTATCCGTCTTGCTTTCAGCTCCAAACACTGGTACTTGTTTTCGCTTCTTGGGATCAAGCAGCAAAAGATTGTGTCATGTCGTGGAGAGAGCGTCAGATTTGGGGTCAGACAACCTGGGTTTGAGCCCCACTACTTTTGTGACCTTGGGCTTGTCATTTAGCCTCTCTAGGCCTTAGTTTCCTCATCTGTAAAATGGAGGAGGACAGAGGAGAAGGCCTCTGAGGTCTCCTCTGTCTCATCATCAGTGAACCTAAGGAAAATCTAGCCGTGGCAGTACTGTCCCGAGTGGGGAAGAAAACAGCATTACTCTGCGTCCTCAAAACTGATGAACTGTCCTCCTAAGGCAGCGCTGCAGTGCGGTACAGTACACTGTGTGCTGCATCAGAGTCCGAGGGCCTGGTTTCAGACCCCAGCTCTGTTCTGTGGAAGTCACTCAGCCCTTCTCAGCCTCAGTTTCCTCATCTGTAAAATCAGGGGCTTGAAGTCTCTTTTAAATCTCTATAGCTGGATTCCTTTGATTCTAGCTTTGTGACCCTGGGGACCCTGGACAAGTCACGTAACTACTCTGTGCCTCAGTTTCCTCAAATGTAAAATGCAGAGGTTGGATCCAGTGACCTCTCTGTCCCGATCGGCTCTTATCAATGATGCTACAACCCCGTGTCCCGCTCGCTGAACCTCTTTCTCTTTGCTCTTCCAGGATTGCCCTCAGATCCTGCCATCTACGCAGATCTATGTCCCGGTGGGCGTGGTAAAGCCCATCACACTGACGGCCAAGAACCTGCCCCAGCCTCAGTCCGGCCAGCGCAATTACGAGTGCATCTTCCACATCCCCGGCAACCCGGCCCGCGTTACCGCCTTGCGCTTCAACAGCACCAGCATCCAGTGTCAGAACACATCGGTGAGTGTGCCCACCCCTCTTCTGCCCACCAAAAAACACTGGGGTAATTTTGGCCAGAAGCCAAGTTGGGTGGTGCAAGGACAGCCTGGGACCAAGAGTCAGGAGACTCAAGTTCTAATCCTGGTTGTGTCCCTAACTAGCTGAGTGTCCTCGGGGCTGTTCTTACCCTCCCAGGGCCCTCGTGTGCTGAGTCTTCTGGGTCCTCATCAGAGGACACCACCAGCTGAACCAGCCTGGCCTTGAGAGTGCAGTGTCAGACCCGTGGGCTATGTAGGGTGACTCTGAGATCAGCTGCTTTATCTGGGACTTTAAGGTCTATAAAGGACTTTACGTCTCCAGCTGACCTTCACAACATCTTTGTGACATGAGTACTCTCATTACCCTGAGGCTGAGAAAGATTAAGTGACTTGCCCAGCTGGTCAGTGTCTGAGGCTAGATTTGAACTCTGACTCCCAAGTCCAAGTGCTCTATCCTGCTCATGTCTGTCTTACCCCATCCCACTTCTCAATAGTCTTTTGTGACCCTTCTGCCTAAGGGAAGCTTTTCTCCCCCTATTCCAAGGATGCCCATTTGCCCTGGCATCACACACTACAGGAGCACGTGGTCCCTTAAAAGGTGGTGGCCTGCCCAGCACCTGAGAGGGACCGGTCAGTGGGAAGACTGTCCTTCCCTTGGGGAGGACATGCAAAGCCTCTAGCCCTCAGAGGTCATGGCTTGGGATTAGTGTGGTGGAGAAAGAGCCGCATCCAGTGCCCCCAGGTCATCATACCTATAGGTGTGTGCATTGAGAGGAGGGAAGGAAGGGTGGCAAAGTTCAGTGGAAAAAACATTTCTTCTGGAGAATGTGGGGTTTTTCTAAAACATTGAATTTTTTTAAAATTGTGTTGGTGTTTGGAGTAACAAAAAGCAGTTTCTCCTCTGAAGAATTTCCAGATTTCTCTGTGCTTTTTATTTTACCTTTCAACCTAGTTATGAAAAATATATTTTTAAATTTTCATTAGCCAGGGAGGTGACTCTGACTCTATAAACACATTAAAAGTGTAATAGGTATATTTTAATTTCTACCCCATTAAGGGCCTTTCCCTCCCTCCCACCAGGGCTCCCAGCTCTAAGATTTCTGGCTCTTTACATCCCTGTACATCTGTGTTGTAGGTCTCCTTTGTGTCCTGCTGTGTGGGTGGTGGGTACGTCCTGTGTGCTTGGTTGCATTTGTAAAGTGTGCTGTGTTGGTGGTTTATGAACGCCCTGGCCCTTGGCCAAATGACCACGTGCTCATTTGGTGGATTGCTGTTTGCTTATGTGCCAAGCCTCTGGAGTCCCCTGGCCCAGGTCTGTCCCAGAAGCCCCCGGCGTCCCTCCGAGGTTTTAGGTGTGACGCATTCCTGGGCTTCGTGTTCTATGTGAGCATTTGGCCCGTGCATAACTTGAGGATGACCAAGAGGATGAGGGGCTTGGGAGACCCTGACAGTTGAAAGGACTCAGTTTGCCAACTTTGGTAAGGGGTGGACTCAGAGGGAGCAATAGAAATGTCTTCAGGCATTTGAAGAGTTGTTGTGTGGAAGGATTCACTCTATTCTGACTGGTCTCAGAGGGAGAGAGAAATAGGTGCCTCTGGGTGAATTCCGCACAGTCAAGATTTGGGCTCAAGCCGTAGTCAGTGGATTTTTCCTCTGAATTGTTCAAGCAGAGGTTGGGTAACTGTTTGTCATGAATGCTTTAGAGAAAATACTTGCTCAGGTGAGGACTGGTCTAGATAACCTTGGGAGTACTTTCCCACTCATATTCTGGGATTCTAACTCATGGCAAGTTCACAGTGGGGTGTCATGGAAAGGAGCTCTCATCTAGGATTTAGGAGACCTGAATTCAAATCCTGGTTCTGTAACTTGAAGCTGTAGGACTGTGGTCAAATGAGGCCCCCATCAGAGGTCTTCCAGGTGTTAGAGGTGTAGGTGCAAACACAAATCAAAAGTCGGGATAAACTTTGAGTCAGAATCTACGCCAGCCGGGCCCCCGTCAAAACACTCTTCCTTTGTTTGTGTGTCAGGCCTTTGCTTCCCCTTGAGGCACACGTCCAGGTCAGTCCTAGGGGCATCTTCCAAGGGGACTGAGGATCAAGGTATCCTGAGCTTCCTGGTCATTGTCAGCACCAACTGGGGACTAAAGAGCAAGGTTAGGTAGGAAGGCCGGACCCAGGGCTCCCCAGAAATGAAAGAGCAGGGCTCAGCTTGTAGGGCATGCAAGTCAAGGCCGGAAGTCTAGAGCACAAGAAAACAAGGAGGGCAAATCTTGATTTTCTGGTCTTAAGGAAAGAGAAGAGAGAAGACAAATCTCTACCATCTGTAAATTCTTTATGAGCTAACAGGAGCAAGCTGGAGGCAGTCTTTCTTTCTTTCTTTCTTTCTTTCTTTCTTTCTTTCTTTCTTTCTTTCTTTCTTTCTTTCTTTCTTTCT